TATTGGCAAACACTCGTCTTCAAATGCATCTTTAGCAAGCTTTATCGCTTTGGCTTCTAGTTTGGCTGCTGCTAATTTTTGAAGGATTTGAAGTTCTTCAATCGTCTTCTCTTCGTGTTTACTTTCACTGTCTGCCAAGACACTGCTGATAACTTGCCCCATGTTGGATGTTGATCGATTGAAGGGAATGCAATAATTAGGTAGAGTTTAAAGGTGCGCCGGATAGTATCATGTAAACCCAGTGGCTTCCTCGAAGCTGTGTTCTAATTTCAGACTTCTGAGAAAAAAGTCTGCCGTGACCTGTTCCGGAAGTCAAAACACATAGAAAACTGATTATACAGAATCAGTCATATTTGTATATGCTTTGTGTTCCTTACTTTTTTATATTCTTTACATAAATATTCAGAACGAATATGCTCAAAATAAGAGACTAATAAAAGACTCTCTTGCAGTGTTGTTTACTTGGGCAATCGAAATCAAATCGTTCTCATTTTGTTTCGGGAAAATCCTCGGTCACTACCGCCTAGGAGTCTTCCTGCGTTACGTTACAAGAAAACAAAGACTTCCAAGAAAACAGTAATGCGATCAAATGGAACTTCCTGTTTTTCCGTGTAAATGATACGCAGTCTGTGTATCCTGCTATTTCTGGAAAAATGTACAGGACGGAAACTGAATTTGAAACCGAATCATTGCAGTGAGGACACGAGCCGTGATCATTTCGAGTTCATTTTTTATCAGTTGAAATAGCATAAAGTAAAGGACATAATAACCTGGAAAAAGACAAAAAACAAAAAACAAAAACAAACAAACAAGCAAACAAAAAAAACACCTTAAAACAAACAACAAAAACAAACAACAAAAACAAACAACAAAAACAAACAAACAAAGATCAAGCAAAGAAGCAAACAAAAACAAAGCAAAACAAACTTGAAGCGTTCATGGTTCGAGTGTTTGTCCTCATTGTAATTTGTCGCTTCTATTATTTAGTTTAATGCAGAGCTTGTTGCCCCCCATCCCCCTGAACACACACACTAGGTATAGTGTTTCAAATGTTTCAATTGCTCTATTTCACTATGACGTCACTGCTTGTTTATGTTGGGGATAGAATCGCCAAATCCAATAGAAAATTCAACAAAATTTGCTCCTAGCGAAACAGTTTAATTTAAAATGGCCTGGTTTCCAGATATAATATGTGTTAATATGTACTAAAAAATATTCCGAGGCGCGTTTGCTGGCTATTCTTCTTCTCTTCGTGGATTGATACGGGCTTTAAGAACAATTTTCGGTGAATTTGCGTCGATTTGACTCCCTAAGACGACCATGATCCTTTGCGTTTAAACAATAGATATTGGTTTGATGTAACGTCATATTGAAATAGGGCAATTGGAAAATCATTTTCGGGTTCAAAAACCGCATAGATGCATTAAATGTTCATAAATTGTTGAACTGACAGAAAGCATGAAGGTTTCTATCACGTTTAATATCGACTGTGTATCTTAAAGCAATGACCAGGGATAATTGTCATTTCCCAGAATACCTTTCGGTTTCAGCTTTTATGTTCTTTGTTTGAACCCGGGAATGATTTTGCAAGTGAGTGTATATTCTAACCATGTCCGACAAAAAAACCTATAGAGACGCATGGACAGATAAATTTAGACTGCTAGAAGTATTGATACAAAATGAAAATCTTTTAATAAGTATAACTTGTTGTCCATTTAGAAGCCAATAGCTAAGATAACTTAGCGAGGTCCTTAATATTATATAATCTATGATTGATTTCAATTGTATTCACGAGTGTTTAGCTTATCGATTGTCATGAATACCTTTAAAATGCTATGAAACGCAATTTGCAAGTGCAAAAAGAAATAGCACGCGCAATGGTGACGGTACCGCATTGATAAGTGGGCTAGGTCACTGTTAATGGATCAAAATATGCAAACACGGCACCAATAGGACCTTCGCATGATTGCATCATTTGAATACTACTACCAAAATGCTTTGCGAATTGCCTTTTTTATTCAAATTTGTATTTCCTCATGAGAATAGTGAGACAATTGGTGCTAATTAACTGAACAAGAGAAAGCGTGCAATGCATTGTGGTAGTGATGTCATAATGCAAAGTGTCCTTAACGGTTTACGGCACCAACTTCGCCGTACCGTTGAGTTTTCACAGCTATACGTAATATGTTGCAATTTTTCTGTTACACCAATCCTAATTGCATTCCCATTATTACTATCGAACCTACCGAAATGTACGCTTATCTACCCAAAACTTAAAAACTTATTGAAATTATTAACTGTCATTGCATTAAACTAATGCATTGCTAGAGTGCAAACAATTAATCCGTGAAACACTAATTACTAAATAGTACAAAATAGTGCTAATTAAACAATAGAAAACAATGGGATTTGCATGAAATTTTGCTATTTAGTATTACTAAAGTTTCACGGTTATATTGTTTGCACTCTAGTATTATGAGTGCTTGAAATAGAATTACTTTAAGACTTTTTCAACTTCTACTTCAAAAATACATATATGCACAAGAGTATATATGGTAATGTATTTCATTTTTCCTTGCTTTCATGTATTCTCCCATTTTGTTCGCGAGCAGGCAAGCCACGACTGACGTACAATCTATATCAAGTATTTTCTCACACATTGCCCCAGAAGCCTTTTGAATGAATGGATTAAGAAAGAAAGTCATATAAGCTCCCCGAGTCTTGATTAAGAAGCATGAGCAAAAGGTGACGCCAACTACACTGTTCAATTGTTCGTAACTCACGCCAAACCACGACTCGTTTTAAGTCCATGTTGTATGTCATTCATTCATGGACAGTTAGTTCACTCTCACTCTCCTACATCGGCTCTAGCTCAGTCTTCTTAACAATATTGTAGGAGAACTCGGTAAGGGATTAAGAGATAACCAGAGAGCATGAGTTACAAGACATGGACTTTCGTGATACGTTAACTGTCATGGTACTATTTCCTGTGACGATGTTAACCTAGTATCTATAGACCAGCTGATGTACCGGGTCCAGAGTCCAGTGTCGTCGAGTGTTTGTTGTCCAGTGACCCAGAGACTCAATGTCCAGCAGCTAATCAGTACATGCTTATAATCTAGCTAGTACCAAGAATCTAACTCTGGACCTGTGATTACTGAGGTGTCCAGTCCAATGCACATTGCGAAAATTTCAGCAGCTGACATGGCATGACATTTATTGTGGATTATATTTGAATTCAGTCTCCTGCGTGCTTTGGAGCCGTTTTCTTGTCCTTATAATAAAATCATATTGTGGGGACTACTGTGGGGATTTTCTTGCCCACATTACTTCGCATGTACTAATATCTTTGTTCATGTTTCTTGACCAGGATTGTTGGTCCTCTCATGCATAGTTCGTACACCAGAATACTAGCTTGCTCCGTGCTATTATTAGAATTATTTGATTTGAATTCATGTTATTTATGGCATGTTTTCATAATACAGAGTTGCCAGTATTATCACCATTCAATGACCTCAACTTTTTGATTATTGTTTCATTTAGTTTCTTCTTATCCCGGTCAGTTTTCTTTAGACTAAAACCTCTTTTCTTTTCGGATTCCATCAACCTGTAGTTGTCACATAGAAAAAGAAGAAAAAAATGAGTTTTTGAACTCCTTGCACCACTGATCGAGACAACTCTCGCCACTGGTAACTCGGCCGATAAACTGCTGTCAATCAGAGTATGTAAAGGTACCCAACAATTTATTTGATTAACGGTACTTTAGTTGCCCTATTTCCCTATCGTGAGTGTTGTCTCGATTAGCGCGTAGCAATAATAACAGCAATAAATATGTATGTGGGAACGCATAATGTCCGACAGCTTGCTCAGTTCCAATCAAGTGTGGCTCCGTTGGTAAGTGTGTAAAGGAAGGGGTCCGACAGCAGTGGCTCTTTACTGAGTAAACCCAATACACCTATTTCAAGAAACGTTGTCGGTCGGAGATCTGAAATCTGAGACCGAAAGGAATTGTGGGTTGTTATAGTTATATTTAGGCCCCTGACAAGATCTTCTTTTAGTCATATGTAAGACTTTACATTTGGTAGTATTAAACTTCATACCATGATCAGTGCTCCATTGATCCAAACAGTCCAGATCCGTCTGCAATGAGGCAGCGGAACTCATGCTGTCAATAGGGCGGTAAAGCTTACTATCATCAGCAAACAGGGCAAGACTAGAACCGAGATGGATATAGTTTGGCATATCATTTGCATGAACTAAAAACAGTAGTGGACCCAGGATAGATCCCTGGGGCACACCAGAAGTCACAGGTAGCCAATCCGAAAATATACCATCAAGAGCAACACGCTGCTGTCTGTCAGACAGGTAGTTTTCAAACCAATGTAGAATGGACCCTGATATGCCATACTGGTAAAGTATCAATAACAGAAGATGGTGTGGCACTTTGTCAAAGGCCTTTGAGAGATCGAGATGTATGACGTCAACTTCCTGACCCCCAGCCAGCATGTCCATGTCCAGGATATCATGGTACACCTCCAATAATTGTGCAACTGTAGATTTGCCTCTCAAAAAGCCATGTTGTAGGTGGTAGAAAGATGGAGTCAAGTGAGGACAGCAATGATTGAATACACAACGTTCCAATACTTTAGAGGTAATGCTGAGAAGTGAGACTGGTCTGTAGTTTACGGCCAAGGACGAGTCATCTTTTTTAAATACTGGCGAGATGTTAGCATATTTCCAAGTCGTGGGAACCACGCCCGTAGACAGAGACAGGTTGAAGATTCTACATAGTGATGGCGCTATTTCGGGTGCTGTGCTTTTTAACAAAGATCCCGGGATATTATCCGGCCCACTAGCTTTATTGGGATCAAGGCTCATTAAGGCGTCCAACACCTCGGAGGTTGTGAGTTCAATACAATCCAGTTGATCACAATCGCTGTTTAGAGGCTGGTAACTTGGAGGTGGAGTGGCTGTAGCTGATATCCAACCGACAACGTTTTTTGAAATTGGTGTATATGTATTACTACTTTGACTGTATGCTTCAAACGATAGCCAGATAGGATACTTGCACGAAGGAACTAAGCACTCACTTTCTATTTTATGATAAATTAATAAACTAAGAACATCATAAGCCTTACTTTTCTAGTAGCTTGGCAGCAATTTGAGGATTGACTCTGTTATACTTGCTTGTTGTTGAGCCATGGTCTTTCAAATATGTTGACCAGTCAAAGCTAAGGAGCAAGTCCACCAACTGAAATCAAAAAGTGTTTTTATTATTATAATTTTAATATTATATATTTTATTAAGATACAAAGACAAAGCAAATGCTATCCTTTTCAAAAGCAATAAACATCCTGAGAATAGTATATACATTGCAATCACAACCACCACTTCATTATTATCTTCATCATCACCATCACCCCCACAAACTTACCTCACAAACTTCATCCTTATCTTCTTGATCACTATCATTAAACTTAACCATCACCATTGTTACTACCATCATCATCATAATCATCTCGACAAACATAACCATCACCATTGTTATTACCATCATCATCATAATCATCTCCACAAACTTAACAATCACCATTATTACTACCACCATCCTCACCCTTTTCATCTCATTATCACTATCTTCATAGCATCGCAACCATCAAACTATAAACCCTTTGCACGTGACATCAAAAATGTTAATTTGGAGGACAAGCGTAGTGTTATTTACTCAGTGAAATCTTGGTAAAATTGTATATAAAGATGGCTACAGATGAAAATCCACATTTTTGAAGATTGCTTGTCACTCTCGTCCTCCAAACCGAAATATGCTAGGCATTCCTGGTCTTATTAAAATGTCACTGCAAGGGGTCTTTACCTGTCTGAGCTCCAAGAAAGTCATCTGTAGTGTTCCATCACTGATTCCTTCCACTGGACTAGAATTAGCAAATTCTGTAAAATAAAATAAACGAAGAATATCATTATCATTTCTTGCAGCACGATCAGGAAAGAGGAAACGTATTCTACAAAGAATCACAGCCAGAAAAGGATATGCATACCTTCGCATTGTCTAAGGTCCTGATTAAAACAGTTGATGCCGTGTTCATTCATCTGTGTTACCTGCATGAAGAACAACATCAATATCACTGACTACCTTTCTTTTATCCTTGATCTTTTTACTACGTTTATTGACTAACTAGTGCAACAATATTACTACCAGGCATTATGCAACACTGTTTTCATTTCGCTACGCACTGAGGGTAATCGGGCAATTCACTGCCTTTGATCAAATGAATTATTCGGTACCCTCACATAACCTGATTGGTGGCAGTGTATTGACGACTAAAGTAAAACTCCAGTGTATTCAGGCTAAACCTCGAATCCAGGAGTTGCTTCTTTTGTTACTCTCTTTTCTGCTATTGTTTACCGACCTCAGAAGTGAGGCTAAGTCCGCATACACAGCGCGTAGCAATCAAGACAGTGGCCAGTACAGAATGTTGTAGTTAACTTACTTCATCATCTAATAATAAAGTCCTCATGCTTCCCGCAAGATGCTTACAAGATGATAAACATGCTGTTTGTACTACATTACCCTGCAAGGAACATCACAATATCGGTTTATCAGACCATAAATTGATCAAGAACTTTAAGGTATTAGGATACGAAAAATGACGATTTGCTCAAAAAAATTTTTTTTTTGAAATTTCGCTGTCCGCAATTCTTCATTAATTATTTTAAATTTAATAGTAGTATTTCCCAGCGTTCAACGAGACAAAGCCATCTATTACATTTGCCTAGGGTAAGGACGGAAATCGCTAAGCGCAGTTTTTGTTATTATGGTTGCACAGTTTATAATACATTTTTAACATAGTTATTTTCTCGTCATAATTTTTCTACACGTTTTTTTTTTGTTTTTGTTTTTTGTTTTTTTTTTGTTTTTTTTTTCACTTTTTAGTTGCTTTATATGATTAATACGTAATTTTAGATAGATATACTTCAATTAATATTTAAACATATACTAGGCTACGTGTGATCGGGTAGGGTTTGGGCGTCGAGTTTCGCATGTCTCGAGCCCAATGCAAATGAAATTGTTAGCGTTTGCTCGTTTGCGTTGGATTCGGGGCATGCGGGGTCGACGTCTAACCTCGCCCTTAGTATTATATTTTAGTATCATATTTTAGATCTTATTAACATACTTTGGATTTTATTACTATAGCTTCACTTCATATTTTAGCTTTTTAACCTAAATTATTTATTATCTTATATTTATTAGGGCTCCTATTGATAGCAGTTATACATTCCATGTAACTGAAGGGATTACCCTGTTTAAATAAAAGTGTTCATTCATTCATTCATTAACTTTACATTTTTGTCTTTTATATGTTAGTGAAACTTCTTGCAATTTTTGATTGGAAAAGCCAAAATTTTGAGACAAATCAAAATCGTGACTTTATCAAGACCGGAAATGTCCCGTCGCTTACAATAACATGGAGTCCAAATGCTCCTTTGTCCTTGTAAAAAGATCCTACATTGCGATCGTCCAGAACAACAGATAATTTGACAAGTGATGACAAAATGGAAGGCTCAAGGTGTTTTGACCAACACCATCGTGGCTCCCTGCAGCTTCCGGCTCCAAACAAAGAAATGCATTTTTCTCGAATCTTTTTTGCCGCTAAAACTTCAACTTCAAAAAGCTAAAAGTCCCTTGGATTTCATTCGATTTTTCTAAAATTTGGAGAGTTTATAAAGTAACTCATGATCCAAAAAAGGGTCTCTCCGATTTTTGAAATTTAATTTCTTTCCAAAGTTATGACGCTTTTTACTCTAAACAACACTCCAAGAGCAATCGTCGAGCTTTGATCAAAAATAGCGAGAGATATAAAACAGATATCAAAAATCTGGGACACCCTTTTAGAGCTTATTATCTCCTGAGTATGTTAAGACATTTTTCGCAAACATAGATTAAAATGTACGTGTCCGTTAACGTTTTCACTGAGGCATGGTCACATTTCGCTTCGAGGACAATAACGTGAACAACAATTAAAAAAATCGTATTTTGAAGATGTCTTCATAAACTATGTTTACTCAGCTTTCAGAAAATGCATACTTTGTTTGTGTTATACTATAAAGCCAGCGCGTTATTAAGTTTGCGCGCATAGTGGTCGTAAACGTATCCTAATACCTTAATACTTCATGAAACAACTATTAACTTGCTTTTTCATTTATCATAGCCTTGGGTCCGACTCACATAGTGCCAGAAATGAGGAGATAAGAGGCTATTGAAAGCGGAGGTAAGGAAATGCGAAGGAATGAAGGGATCGAACAAATAAATGAAACAATAACAATGACCAAGAGAGATGAGAGAAAGACGTAACGGAAAATTAAACGTACACCACCCCTCGAGGAATGAACACTAAGACACGACATTGCTGTACTTACAGGTAGGACAGAAAAATTCAAAAATGTGCTGTGTAAATAAGCCAGTAAATCCACTATGTAACTGCTGGGCTGTTTCCTTGGTCCTGAAGGCACCCAGTTATAATTTGCTGGAACAAAAAAAAAAAAGGGCTTAGTCCAAAAATAAGATAAAAAACTTCTAAATTCTGCTATCATTAACATAATGTACACTACAAAACCACTGACCAACTCATGTCCAGGAATATTTCACCTACAATGAGAGAACAATTCGTCCAGCTGATTTGAATTAGTGACGTAGAAATGACGTCACTGCGAAACTGAGGCGTCATGAAGCCTGTGAAAATTGACCAGCGAAAAATAACAACATAAAACTTCTTATTAATCTTGTCAAGGTTATCAAACATTTATTAGAAACATTATTTGTTTCCGTTTGGTGGCCTGCAAGTCTATAATTTCAAGAGGAAAAGTAACACCTCAGTTTTGCAAATTTTCTTGATTCTGATTGGCTAGACATTTTTCTCAGATGAGCTGGGTAGATCTGATAGCAAATGTGTATCAAATACCTAATTGTATAAACTCTTCTATCTTCATGTTTAGCTTTTCATACATCTGCTGTTCCAGCTCTGCCCTTATGTCCTTCAAAAACAATACTCAATGTTATGATACGACACTTGTATATTATAGCTGAATTCCACCTAGAACAAAACATTGCCCCGCCCCCCCAAAAAAGTTTCAATACAAAAAGTATTTTAGGTTAACAATCACCTTGAATGTCGATAGGCCATACACTCTAGCAACATTCACCCCATCGTTTGCAGTCCTGAGGCAAAAAAAATTATAAAAAAGAAGATTGAAAGGCAGGCAGGCAGCCAGACAGTTACTTTACAGTTACAACATTATGGGACATATTCTATAAACATTTAACCAACCGTACCCTGTAACTTCTGCAACATACTCCTCCAGGTGTAGGCAGGCTGCTTCCAGGTGTACTGTGTTCACAGAAAGCTGGGCAAGCTGGAATTAAAGAACAAAGCATATCAGATTATTGTAGCTCAATTACTAATTATACAATTACTGTAAGAATACAAGACGGAGGATACTGTAGTCCAATCAGTATTCTTTACCTGTTGTTGTCGCTGTTTGTTTGTTTGTTTATTTGTTTAGAATACATTATAGGGTTGTATCAATTTTTCAAAGGCTTTTACTCTTTTTACTTTATGTGGTTGTGACATGCCTTGAGATATATACCAAACTGAAAAAGCCATTGTCGGGTTAAAAAGGTTCAATTGTCGAAGAGCAAAGGGTACAGTGTAAATCTGGGTAAGAAGTTAGAGGCTAATATTATGTTTATTGCAGTTTTGCAGCTCTCTTGTTTCAAGTTACAGAATCGAAAGCATTTTGTCACTCTTGATGCATGATCGTGTCTGTATGCAAACACTCACCGAAAGTACCAAATGGGCACAGGATATCGACTACCCAGAATATCCCTCGGCCTAAACGTGGCTGATTTACCCTAGCTATTCAACACAATTTGGTGAATATTAACAAGAATGTATGGTTAACGATTGTTTATTTACCTGTGGGATGGAAACATCTTTTCTCTTGATGACTGATGTTATGCAGCCTGACATGAAGACAAATGAAGAATATCACACTTTCGGTTTACAAAAAAATAGTATAATATAATTATATTATAGTTTAAAATTATTAAAATAACAAAATCTATAAGACTACAGGATAACCATGACTGAGATTAATGATTTTAATCAATGATATGAATTAATGATCAATAATAATGATTTAATTTTAATGAATGATCTTAATTCTGCTTAAAAGCAAAAGTCAAATGAGAATGAAGGACAGATGAAAAAGCTTTAAAAAATAAAAATAAAAATAAAAGTGATGTAAAAAATATTTAGGGAATACAAACCATTAAGAGTTCTTGTCAGAAGTAAATTTGTTGACTTTCTTACTGAATCCCCAATTTCTGTTTGACTAAGATATAATCAATGCAAATGATACTTAATTTAATTCACAGTGATGGACATAAATTATGGGTCAAACTAATGTACTGTACACTTATTTGCTAATTGCTAAGATATTTCTTGGATGGATTTTTTTACTTTTTTACCATCTTTTTTCCTTTCTTTTTTTCTTTGGCCACTGATAGTGTCTTGTAACCCCGAGTTACAACTTGTCATTGCATTTAGCGATCAATTTGATATCCTCAATAAAAACATTCCAAAAATATTTTATAGTGCCTATAATTTATATATCAACTAAAGGTATCTAGAGAAAACAAGTGGACCTCTTGGATATCTGACATCCTTGAATGCTTACTATTTGCTTTGATAGGTAAATCAAACATCTAGTAAAACATACCTCACATTTAAATGCTCATTAAACTTTAGGCAAGCATTAATGAATTCTTTGAACTGCAAATATATTTAAAAAATAATATTAAGTTAAACAAAAATTAATGTATAGACTAGACAAATTAATGATAATTGAAGCAGTTACTACAACATGTAACTTTGGTTGGCAGTCTGGCGGGCCACTACGATTTGTGCATAATATACATGATTGACACACCAGATTTGAACAAAAGATTGTTGGATCCAAAGGTGATAGGCAATTCATTGGTAATAAGCAATATTAGAAGGTAATTCCAAGATCCAACAATAATTGCAATGACTTGTATTTCTATTATAATAATTCTAGTCTGTGCAGAACACAGAGGTTAGCATTGAGAAATCCAGTCTAGTTGACAAAAATTTTAAGGCCTAGATTATTTGTTATTAGTTGTATGCCCATAATTCCCTTCCATCTTGGAATGACCTATCACCTATATCCTTCAAATCAATGGCTCCGATAGCCCTTTTTTTTTTTTTTTTTTGAAAAAGGTGTAAATAGTATTTATCAATGGTCAGAATAAATTCATTTCTCACCTCTTTGTATAACTTCACAGGACATTCAGAGAAGTTAAGAATACTAGGTACTGCTCCCTAAAATTAGAAAATACATTTCGCGCATATGAATGTACAAACGCGCTATTGATTGTCCATTGATGCCTATGAATGTACACGCATATTCAATTGTCGTTATTGAAAGTTGATCCGCGCCAATGATGTTACTTGTGGTGTTGATGAAAGTACATTACACGTTATTGATACAACTATTGGCACAAATGAATGTACATTTTCTGTTAATGAACAGCAAAAGGTGTACTCTTTTGTTTTTCTACTACTTGGACTTTTTTGCGATTCTTTTTCAGTCATTTGAAAGAATATTTTTACTGGTCAACTGACGTTTCACGTTTGCCGTGAACGTAAATCTAAAACTCTCTAATAGCTCACTTAAAGCAGCAATCAAAGCCGACCTCAGCCGTCCAGAGATCCAACAACATACGAACGATCGGGCTGAGGCAAGACGACAAGGGATTGCTCTAGGTCTCTACAGAAAGCAGTTGCTAATGGAAGGGTTCCAGAGAAATGTGGCAAC